ATTATCTAAGCTGTATAATTTCAGCGCATCTTTCATTTCGCAGAGAGTGTGACTAGCTGTCCTTCGATTCTCGTGTAAAATCCACGTGATATTTTAGATTTGTATAACACGTGAGTTCATTTTTATGATAAAAATGACATATTTCAGGACAAGAGTTTCATCGTTAATATTAATGAAAGAATATTGAAGATTTCAAACCCTTTTCATTATTCAATCGACTTATTTTTTATGTGGATATATATCGAAATATTAATTATAATCAATAACATATAATTATATATATATATATATTTGTTGTATGGACACGTTTTGTAACCAAACGCAAAATTCAATTATGATTTAAATTTATCAAATAACGATTATTCGGGGATGAAATATATATATTTTTTTATAAGAAAAAAAATAGAAGAAGATGAAAAAGAATGGAATGAGAATTATCATATATTTAATTGAGGGAACTGATCTAAATTTAGAAATCTTTTCGTAATCGTCCAATGATGTTTTTGGAAAGTAAAATCCTCATTCCATTTCTCTTGCTATGTGAACGTCCTCATAATTGTGAAATAATAATAATCAGTTCGAAAACAAGTCAATTTACATTCCATCATTTTTCTTCAAAAAAAAAAAATTTCTCATTTGGATAAAATCGAGAACAATTTTGCCATATAATATTTATGTGTAAGTGTTAAATATATTTGCCGAGAACTAAAATTAGTTATATATTATTCTATGGGCACTTTCACAAAGTTGTAAAGCCTTCTATATAATTAATATATTAGATTATTATTATTATTATTTGAAAAAGTGTAATTTTTCAAATTTTTTTTTTTTCAATAGCATATGAGATTTATTTTAAAGCAATTTTGTGAATGAGTTGAAAAATTTTACAATGAAAAGGATTTAAATAAGAAAGTTATCCGTTGCAATCAATAATTTCAATTATAAAAAAAAATAAATTATAGCTTCATTAATTTTTTATATACATTACAGGAAAAATAGTTTCAATATAAAATTTACTAAATATTGAAGGTACAAAATATTAAAGGTACTAAATACTGAAGCTACTAAGTATTAAAGCTACCGAATATTAAAAGTACTAAATACTGAAGCTACCGAATATTAATGGTACTGAATATTTTAAAGGTACTAATATTGACGCTACTAAGTATTGTAGCTACCAAATATTAATGGTACTGAATATTAAAGGTACTAATATTGAAGCTACTAAGTATTAAAGCTACCGAATATTAAAAGTACTAAATACTGAAGCTACCGAATATTAATGGTACTGAATATTTTAAAGGTACTAATATTGACGCTACTAAGTATTGAAGCTACCGAATATTAAAGGTACTAAATACTGAAGCTACCAAATATTAAAGGTACTGAATATTAAAGGTACAAAATATTAATGGTACTGATAATAAAGGTACAATATATTAAAGGTACTAATATTGAAGCTACCAAATATTAATAGTACTGAATATTAAAGGTACTAATATTGAAGCTACCAAATATCAATGGTACTAAATACTAAAGCTACCAAATGTGACGCGCTCTGAAGAAAGGTACCTAAGAAGCAACTCATTTTAAGGTTATGTTTGTCGTAATTTTACCTTAATTAAAAGTTTATTTTTTTATTATGTAAAGTAAAATCAGTTTTTATTGAATATTTTCAATGTTATGAAGATTTAAACACCAATAATTTATATTGAGAGTTGATTCCCTTTATGTATTTTTACTTTAAAAATCACAAACATAACCTACAATTTTTTGCTTCTTAGGTACCTTTCTTCGGAGCGCGTCACAAATATTAAAGGTACTGAATATTAAAGGTACAAAATATTAATGGTACTGATAATAAAGGTACAATATATTAAAGGTACTAATATTGAAGCTACCAAATATTAATAGTACTGAATATTAAAGGTACTAATATTGAAGCTACCAAATATCAATGGTACTAAATACTGAAGCTACCGAATATTAAAGGTAGAAAATATTAATGGTACTGAATATTAAAGGTACAAAATAATAAAGGTACTAATATTGTAGCTACTAAGTATTGTAGCTACCAAATATTAATGGTACTGAATATTAAAGGTACTAATATTGAAGCTACTAAGTATTGAAGCTACCGAATATTAATGGTAGTGAATATTAAAGGTACAAAATAATAAAAGTACTAATATTAAAGCTACTAAGTATTGAAGCTACCAAATATTAATAGTACTGAATATTAAAGGTACTAATATTGTAGCTACTAAGTATTGTAGCCACCAAATATTAATAGTACTGAATATTAAAGGTACTAATATTGAAGCTACAAAGTATTGAAGCTACCGAATATTAATGGTAGTGAATATTAAAGGTAAAAAATAATAAAGGTACTAATATTGAAGCTACCAAATATTAATGGTACTAAATACTGAAGCTACCAAATATGTGTTAAAGGTAATGAATATTAAAGATACAAAATATTAAAGATACTAAATATTTAAGTTACTAAATATTGAAGCTACCAAATATTAAATGTATTAAATATTGAAGGTACAAAGGATTAAAGGTACTGAATATTAAAGGTACTAATTACTAAATATTGAAGCTACTAATTATTGAAACTATCAAATATGAAAGGTACTAAATATTGAAGGTACGTAACATTAAAGCTACTAAATATTATATGTTGATAATAATAATATTAATAAAATTTTATTATTTTTAAATATTGAATAAATAATTAATAATAAATAGTGAAATCGTGTAGAGTGACATATTAATTTTTTGTTTTTTGTAATTTACATTCAGTGAATATAATTTCTGTTTCGTTACGTTTGGCCCACATTTTGTCAGGTGAACGTTTCTTTTTTTGGCGACTTGAAAGTAGTTCATTGACCTGGCCCTGTAATGTTTGGCATTGACAATGACAATCTTCAACCTCGAAGCTGACTCGAGAAAGGCTTGACGTAAAAAGAATAGTAACACACACACACACACAAAGTGGGGAGAAGTGACAACGAGAGGAATAGGTAACCAAGAAGAGGTGAAAGGATAAAGTTATGGTGTCGAGTGAGAGTTTCTTATTTGATTCAACCATGTTTACTATATATATATATATATACACAAAATGAACACAAAATATAACTATTTTTATAATTGAATAAAAAAATTAATTAATAATTTTCTTTTATTCTCACTATTAATATTTTTTATTTAATAATTTTTTTTTAAATTAAATTCTTGATTTTTGTAATATAATAAATAAAAAATCAATAGAACAGGAAAATTTGTTTCCATTATATCAGAATTAACAGGACGAATCGGGAAATAGGGTTTAAGGTACAGTGACCTCGAAAACAGGAATAACTTCCGGTTTTTGTATATATATATATAGAATCGAGTGTTCATGACATAACAAATTCATCTTTGTAATTTTCATCGTGTTGAATATTATGAAAATAATTTGCTATCGGATGTGACATACTCGAGCGTATAATGAAAGGGGGAGATGCGAAAAATAAATTACAGGAAAGACAAAGAAAGAAAGAAAGAGAGAGAGAGAGAGAAAGAAAAAATAATAAGAAAATGAGAGAGAAAGGGGCGCAATAAGAGACGTATATTATGAGGGAAGGAGAAAGATGTAGGTTGCTCTCTAGTGGTTGCGGCCAGTGTCAGTGGCCTTGCTTTCTGCGACCCACTTTCCCGCATATACCCGCAGTATCAACAAGACTCAAACAGCAATACATTTTTTTTTTTTTTTTTTTTTTTTTTATTGCAAGTGAAAAAAAAGAACAGCAAAATCACACCCACATTTTTTGTGGCGCATCAGAGCCACTGCAATATTACAGTCACACACAGGTGAAAAATATACGTGAAAAATTATACAACAGAAAAGAAATGAGAAAAAAAGAGTCGCATATATAGGAGAAGAAATAAGATGCCGAAATTTAACGATTTAAACGGCACAACGACCCGGACCCTCAAAGTGACTTCGTTGTGTGTGGAAAAAAACCGTATTATTACTTTTTAAGAAAATTTAATTTTTCTATTGTATGAGAATAATTACTCATTTTTTACTAACTGCTGAAGAAAAAAATCAGTCAAGATTTTACTAATAATTATTTTTAACTAAAACGTATAGAAAGTGAATTTGTCGTGGCAGCGAACTATTTGCGCAATTAAATTGCATTTGCTAAAATCGACTTAGCTGTATGTAAAAAAATATTTAGTTGAATCAAATCTTTATCTTTTTTTTTCTCTATTATACATCTTCTAACGCACAGAAATATTATATAATTTCACACAAGATTTATACCATATATACAAATAGAGGAGAAATAATAAAGTAATTGTGAATAGATTGTAGCAGAAGAGAATTGCATAGATATATATTTCTATAAACTCTGAAACGAACGAGAAAATCTGAGACGAACACAATTTGTAAGCATAATACGTAACTCGCAATTCTTTTTTTTAAACGTATATATATATATATATATACAAGTGAGTATATTTACGTGTAGGAAAGTGATGGAATGAGTTACATAAACGTCAAGTCGGAACTGCTAGCGAGGAAGGCCAATGTCCTAGGCTGTTGATGTCTGTGATTTAAAACGTTATAAGAAAGAAACGTATGTATAGTTGACACGTACGATCCGTTACATTCACATACAACCAATGATAGATGATGCATGTACTTGCAATAACATCCCCATTAGAGTCTAGATCAGTTGCTGTATTTAGCGTTGATCAAATGCATCCGGAATTTCTCTTTATTTTGCTCATATATAAATATATATACATTGCAAAAATATCAAACAGTTTTACGTTACAAAAATTTAATTTCCTTAATTTCCAATTTATATTTCGAAAATTTCCCGATTATTCTAATATCCTACCAAAAATACTACAGAACTAATAAAGCCTGTACTCTAGGTACAAAAAGACCTACACTAGGGTTACCGTCCCAAAACGCAAATTATATAATCAAAAAGACTCACCGATCGTTGAATCCCATTGGACCAATCATTATCCACTTCTACGGAGGTCGAAACATCCTCCTGTTCTTTAGATTATAACTGCAACATAAAAAAAATTACATAAAATAAGATTTTTTAATTTATTTAAATGCAATTTTTCACGGATGCTTTTCAGTAATCTGAAAAAAAATTAACGTTAAAATATGATGGAAAATGATGATGATGATGATGATTTCACGACTGACACTGATCATATTTAATGATTGTGTAATGAGACCAACCTTAGAAAATCACACGACTTTCATTTTGCAAAGATAGATTAACCTAGCTTAAGTAGTTTCTAGGTCTCGGGCTGGGTATATATATATATATATATATATATATATATATATATAATATACAATGAGAGAATTGCATTTACACACATACATAGACAACAAATTGGCAGAGCAAAGCGAACGGGAGACAGACTTTCTCAAAATGTTTTCATATATACTGCACATTGCAAAGAGGAAACTTTCTTCGTGAATCGCGAGAAAGCCGCACTCACTATACTCCCTTATAAGTGCATTTCATAACTGGTTAACGTTCCGTAACGTGCGAATAATGAGAAGGCCCTCTTTAAGTAAATAAACTAAAATGGACTTTTTTTTTTGCTCCTTTTTACTGACCAATCATAAATTTATCATTCCCTCAAAAAAAAAACAAAAAAAAAACAACGCGTTCGAGAAACTTTTCTCTAAACATTTTGCTTATTATTTATCTCACAATCATCGAATTTCGTGGCGCATGAATTTCACATAAAAATAAAATTTTTTATTTTTTTGGACAAATTTAATTTATAAATAGCATAAATTAACAGAATTTAATGTTAAACAAATTTTAATTAACAGATTTTTTTAGGTAATTTTTGATTGAAAGAATTTTTATTATTTCTCTATTCAAATTTTTATTTAAAAAAAAATTCGAATTTAAACGAATATTAAATTTAGCGGAATTTTTATTTCGAATTTGATTCGTATTTTTAAATACCAGAATTTTCAATTTCATCGAATCTTCAAATTTGACCGAATTTTAAATTTGCCCGAATTCTTAAAACGTCGAATTTCCATTTGTTGGTAAATGGCGCGAATTTCAAAATTAACCAATCAGAAATTTTCAGCTATAATTTCTGATTAATAAATTTTTAAAATCTGTTCTTTTCAGTAAAATTCGAATTTAATCGAATATTAAATTTAGCGGAATTTTTATTGCGAATTTGATACGTATTTTTAAATACCACAATTTTCAATTTCATCGAATCTTAAAAATTTGACCGAATTTTAAATTTGCCCGAATTCTTAAAATGCCGAATTTCCATTTGTTGGTAAATGGCGCGAATTTCAAATTTCAAATTTTCTTCAAATTTGACCGAATTTTAAATTTGCCCGAATTCTTAAAACGCCGAATTTCCATTTGTTGGCAAATGGCGCCAATTTCAAAATTAACCAATCAGAAATTTTCATCAATAATTTCTGATTGGTAAATTTTTAAAATCTGTTCTATTCGGTAAAATTCGAATTTTTTAAAAAAAAAAAAGTTGATAGAAAAAAAGATTCTGTAAAATAAAACCCAAAAAAAATCTGTTAATTAAAATTTGTTTTAAAATAATTGTATCTAATAAAATTTTTTTTAAAACAAAATTCTAACCATATAAAAATATTGAATTCTTTCCTTCTAAAATGAAATTTTCCAATTCTTCAAGGAAAAATTTAAAAGCAAATTTTTATAATAAAAAATAAAAAAAGACAGATAAGTTGAGGATCATCTTTTGAATAATTAAAAAAAAAAAATAATCCTCAAAGCTATAATAAGAGCCACGTAGACAAATATCGCGATCGTATATATATATATGCACTTACGTTACTAATATGTAAAGAGAAGTCTCTTCGAGGAAAAGTGCATAATGCCAAGATCTGTTGTTATTCGGCGTATATATTGACAGATAGGTGCTTTATATAGGGTCGATGAACGCTGATATTGCAACAGTATAATACGTAACTTGTGTCGTGTCGGCAAAAAAAAAAAAAAAAAAAAAAAAAATTTTCTTTTGGTTCAGTGTATAATATTGAAATATACATATATATAAATACACACCTCAACACCTAAGTGTTGTATGAAATCAAGGTTCAATGACTTCCTCCGATTACATACAAAACGCGTGACACTGCTTTTCAATCGATTGACAACGACGAAAAATTTTATTCTCTCACAACGATTATAAACTTATGTATTGAGTTTTATTGTAATAATGCAACTTTTCAAAATTCAGATACCCAGAATCATGATGCAAACTTCATAAATATATCTCTTTCATATAGGACTTTGTACCTTCATTGTTTTCATACGCTCTACATAATCAAATCATATCACATAAATTAACTAACAAAAATTATTATTTTTTTTTTTTTTTTTTTTATTTTAATATTTGCAAATGAGTGGATTTTATTTTAAAAAAACAATTCAATTTTTTTTTTTTATCATATTTATAATATATTCAAAATTATGAAATATTTGTGAATTAATAAATAATGAGCTCCGGGGACTTTCCTAATGAAAATGTTAAACCAGTTTTATAATTTCTTACAAAACTAGAAAACTGGTTTGATATTCTCATTTTATTTATACTTTTTTTTTTTTTAATTTAAATAACATTGAGGAAATATTGTCTTCAAAATTAATTGTATATTTATAGTGAAAGTCGTCACAAAATTTTATCAATAAATATTTACCTGAATCAAATAATAAAAAAAAAATTTTTTTTTAATTTTGAGAAAAATTATTTTTTATATAAATAAATTTGAAATATTTCTTTTTTTTTGCCATAGAGAAAAAAATATATTGCATGGATTATATTATATATATAGATATATGATTCGCCTTTGGCTATGCAATTATGCAGCTATAGAAATTGTAACAAGAGCAGGAGGGAATGCCCCGAAAGGGTAAGAAAGCGGAACGTCGACTGCCATGTTATCTATTATAATACACTTGAAACTTGAACGTGGCCCGTGACATGACTCGAGGTAATATCTTTTTTTTTCCTAACAAAACAATGCAACGAGTAAAAATATTTTTAAAAAAATAGTTCAACTTGTAAACTAATGACAGCAAAACTTCTAAACTGTCTAAATTCATAACTTTCCTATCTGCTGACGACATAATTCATCCGCAATAATAATTTATAGTTAACTTGTATTAGTTAATTTTATCATTATTATATTTTCATTATACATCCATATTCAATTTTTAATAATTTTAGTAAAAAATTTCCAAAAATTTATATTTCTTATCAAACCTTCTGATGTGAACCCTAATTTTTACACATGTTTTTTTTTCTTTTTTTTTTGTGTTAAACTGGAAAATACATATTAGCATATGAAATATAAATAAAACATTAATTTTTATTTACCCACCTTTTAAGGTTAGTTACCTTGTAAGCAAAGTATTTTTTTTTTCTTTTAAATTCTATTAGATTCATGTTACGAAATAATTTGTTGAATATCAGTAGCGTTCTATTTTAGTAAATATGACCACATTACGTTTACTTAGTAACTAAGCTGTATCCTACGCATATATATATTATATCATAATTTTACAATTGAAAATATTTTTCTTTTTGCAAATTAAATATTAAAAATTAAATAAAATAATCGTTTTTCCAGGTGAAATATCGAGAAATTTTTTTTTTCAATCAAATTATAATAAAATTTATTTCAATAAATAAATTAATTTAAAAAAAATATATTTTGAAAAGACATAATATATAAAAAGAAATTTATATGTTGTAAAGTTTACTTTTTAAGAATATTTATAATTATGTAGATTAAGGAAATTGTAAAGGCCTGAAAAGATATACAATGAAAATAAAATTATTTTTATTATTAATATATACTCTCTAAATTTGAATTAGCGAAAATTTCACTGTTTGAATCAGCGAATAAAGTTTTCACTGCAAATCAGCGGTTACAGCTAATAAAATAGCGAAACACGAATCGGCGAACGTCGGTCATTTTCGTCGGAAGATAAATTTATTTTAAAATGGAGTATTCCACTGATTGAAATAGTTGTTAGTCGCTGATTCGCAGCTGCATACTTATAGCTTTTTCAATCAGCGACTATTCGCTGCCAATCAGCGGATTTTAGCTGATTCAAATTTAGAGAGTATAAAAAGAAAAAATTTCACGAACTTTAATAAATATTTGATATAAAAATTCTCTTAACAATTTCAACGTTTGTATAATGAAAATAAATAATACTTTATTTGAATATTATAATTTTCACGTTTTAATTTTTTTCTCATAAATTTTCTTTTATTTGCAATAATTAATTGCTTTAAAAAAATTGAAAAATTTCAACATATTTGACAGATGATATTATATTTATTAAAATAACTATTATTATTATTACTTCTAAATTGCATTTCGATAACAAATCACCAGGAGGTAAATAATCAACGAAATTGCCTTGAAGTGAGATCGAATCGGAAACATTAATAAACGTAACCTTCAGTTTTCCAATCGGATCTAAAATGTAATAAGTCTGTCATCAGATTCATCTTGTAGAATTTTTTTTTTTTTTCTTTTCAAGGAATTTCCTATAGAGTATAATATGGCGAACGAATGCAAATAATTTCTACACTTATGTCATGTCACGGCCTATGTGATGATGATGATGATAATGACGATGATTATTAAGATTGTGTCATACCTTCTCTCTCTCTTTCTTATATAAAAGATTATAGAAAAAGAATTTATTTGTTCTTTTAATAAAACAAAGAGTAATTTTTTTTTTAGGGGAAAATCTTTAGTGAAAATAATTGCTAAGATAATTTTTATATTTAATGACTTGACTCGATCATAGAGCAGGTCATTGGCGCGTATTATGGCATGAGAAAGCGCAACTTGTCATGTGTGTAACTATTAAAAAAAAATAAGAAACTGATTAAAATGAACTAAACTACATTTCACTGACACAAGTCTAATTTTCATTTACCAACACTGCCTCTATTATTTAATTTTCTTTTTTCCAAATTATTCATAAAGAATAGTGAAAAAATAAATTTTAATTTACCAATTAAAAGAAAATTTACTGAATTAAATTAAATGATAATTTTTTACTGAAATTATATTATAATTTTTTTTTGTATAAAATATGTATTAAAAATTAAATGTTTTGTATGATACAATTTTTTCAATAAAATAAAATATTTACCTTAATGACGAATTTTCAGCTTTAAGGAGATTTCTTCTTTCAAACTAAATAGCCCTCGGAGATCCCTATTTTCAAATTAAATTTCCATTCGGAAAATGTGAAAAATAACCGTAAAAATAGACCGAGTTCTAAAAAGTCTAAAAAGCCATCGAGGATAGAATCTGCAAAAAGAAAATTAAAAAATTTATTTAATAGGGTCAACTGGGGTAAATCCGAACGCTTTTAGTAAGTTTCAACAATAACATAAGTTTTTTCTTTAAAAAAAAAATACTTCCGGTATTCTGGTGCATGAAGTTGTTACTTTACTTCCATAGAACAATTTTATGGGGTAGAAAAAATTTTTGATAAATTACAATCGCAGGAAACTTAGCGTTCGTATTTACCTCGATACTTTGCAACTTTCCTAAAATATGGGGGTAAATACGAACGCCACTGTATTTCAGAAAAATCTTAGGGAAAATAAATTTAAAGTATTGCAATTGTTAAACTTATATAAAAACTCAAAAAAAATACGATAATAATGCATCATATATAAATACAAAAATCAAACAGGTTAAAAATTAAAATGCATTACACAATTAAAACCTTCAATAACTTTATCAAATCATAACGGATTTTTGCAAAACTTGGTACAGAAAGTATTTTGGAGTGATTGAATGTAAATACAAAAATAAAAGTCAAATTTTTTTAATTCAAAATGGCGGACTTTCCTAAAACTTATTTTTAAAAATGATCAAATTTGCTAACCCTGAAACCCCCCGAGTAACAATTTTCGAGCGAATCCAATGAATTTTTTAATTCTCGTCCGCCATTTTGAATTTTGAAAAACTGACTTCAAATTGGTAATTAGCGACCCCAAAAACCGTAGAATACCAAATTTTATTAAGATCCTGAAAAACTTTTTTCAACAAACCATTTGGCAAAAAAATTGAAACACTCCTTCGAGAGAACAGAGATTAAGTTTCTGCTTATTAATTACTAACGAGGATACGTATAGAAAGAAAAACTTTTTTCTATGTACTTTTATAATGTTAAAATAATAGTGTAATCAAATAAAAACAATTTTGTGTGGCTTTGATGTAAAAAAAAATTATTAAAAATACCGTTCGGATTTACCCCAGTTTTCCAATTTTCTTGGGTAAATACGAACGGTCTGATATTATTAATAAAATTTTACAGAAGGCAAAAATCAAATATAGTTTCTGTTCTAGTATTCATAACAAACAATTATAAATAATAAAATGAATTTTTAGCTTCTTTTTCTTCAAATACGAGACAAAATACTGAAAGAGTGTCATCTTTGATTTTCAATCTTTTTTGCAATACTCGTTATCTTTGTTTATGCTGTTGCTAATTAACAAACAAAAAATGGGATAATACTTAGAATCTCTTCAAGAGGATCTGAGGTAAAAATTCTCATATCGAACTTATTTTTAAAAATTTTAATTAAGCTGAAATAATTAGCGTTCGGATTTACCCCCCGTTCGGATTTACCCCGACTGACCCTATTTATTTTCTACTTAAACTTAAAATTAGAATAAACTGACAATATAATTTCCAACTACTAATAAATTAAACTTAAACTAATAAATTTTAATTTAATTTTTTGATTTTCATTTAAAATTTTAATTTATTAAAACTTATAATTATAATCACTATCAATATAATTATTGAAGTTAATCGTAAATTGTAACTTAGGGTTTAACTTCTACCAAAGGAACAATAAATATCAATTTTTTTTTTTTCTATCACTACCATAAATTGTAACGAGAATAATTTTTGATTCGAAATCATGTAAACACATGAAGTTGATGCTGTCACACAGCATAATAATCAAGAGGTAACTATTGCTGTTTCGATAGTAATAGGTATCAGACACGCGATTCTGAAAGAACAGGTCAATGGAGAAAGTTGACCACGACTTTTTATCGAAGAGTATATTTTTTTTAAATAATAAAATATAGTAATAATTATTATTAATTAGATATAATTGAAATAGAAAATATAAAGCAATTTAAAATTTAAAGTATTGACTAATAAAATAATTTTAAAAATTTCAAAATGGAATTCAAAAAATTTCTCTTATTATAGTTCCGTATATTTATTTAATACCATCGTGTCATTGATATTATGTATTTAAAAATTAAATACCAGAAATACCAATAGGAAGCATATTTGATCATATTGACGTATACGGATTTTCTGTGTCATATTATTATTTATACAAGAAGGAAACTTTCTACTGTGAAACATATTTTTTTTGAATCCCGTGTTGCTACCAAGAAGATTTATAATGAAAAATTCCATATTACTTTTTCATAGTGTTAATTTGTTTTTTGACACATTGAAAATAGTTGCGATCAAAAATTTCTTCAACGCACAAAAATTCAATTAAAAATTTTTTTCACAAGTAAAATATAATATTATATATATTTACTAAAATATAACACAGTGTTGAAATTCAACAAATATTTCCTAACATTAATCTAATAAAATTTTTTGTACAAAAAAAAAAGAAAAAAAAAACTAGAATATTAAAATATTTTATTTATATTTCATATGATAATTATTTATAGATTGCCAAAAAAAAACACGTGTCAAAAATATTGTTATTTAATTTATTATCAAATATTTTTATTTGTATTTATAAATATTTATAACAAATAATAATTTACAACAAATAATAAATATTTATAACAAATAATTATTTGCAACAAATAATAATTTATTTGTAACAGATAATAATTATTATTTGAATTTATGTGTTTATTTATTAAGTCAATTTAATTATTAATTAATAATTGTTAATTAATGTTCGACAAATTTTTTTTTTGATTGAAATAAAATTTATATATTATGATTTTCGTATATCAATTAATTGATAAAAAAAAAAATTGTGATAATAAAAATCTTTGTAACAAAAGTGAAAGAAACAATTTTTTCGAGGTGTCTTGATTAAAAATCCTATAAATAGATGAACGAATATAACGCACAGGGTGATATTGATTAAAGGGCAGAAGCCGGACGTTTATATGGAAAAATACTAACACATTATCAATATTTTACTACCAACGCATTTCGTATAGGGTTAACGACACGAACAATACATATAGGATATGGGAGGCTCTCCTCTGAACTCATTCAGGATGTCCGCAAAGTGATATATAAACAAATATATAATATATCTGTTATTATTATAAATTTATCGTTATAATTTAATATTACCCTTATTAATTCGTCATAAGAAAATAATTATAAAAATCGAAAATATGTAAAAATAGTTTTTTTTTTTAAATTTAGTCACTTATGTAATTTGCGAGTGATACAATATTTTTTTTGGTAAAGAGTGCCAAAATTGGATGAACATGTCATTTAATTTTATATATGAAATAAATATATTCTTTTAACACGCGTGACTTCTTAGAAATGATTGCACATTTTTTGAACGCGTGAATTATATACATTTTTGCGTCACGTTTTAAATAAGCTAAAAACAATTTGCAGATTTCGACTGTTTTTTTTTTTTTTTTTATTTCTTTCCTTTATTTTTTCTGGAAAGCTTACCGCGTATTTTTAGAAATGAATCCCTGATTTGCAAGAAAATTTATTTTATTTATAAATAATTCATGTTCAATTTCATAATTATATAATTAAAAAATTTAATAATTATATAATTTAATAAATTAATAATTTCATAAATTATTTAATTTGATATTAAAAAATTAAATTTTTTTTTAAATTATTAAAAATTTTTTATTAAAAAATAAAGGTTTTTTTTGACTTTTAGAGAAATGAAAATTGGCAATTTTTTGTTTGTGAATTGAAAAAACTCGTGTCTGTTAAAAATGACACTTTTTTTTTTTTTTGTTCAATGACCTCTAATTATATTATTGATTCCGGTACATCGCGCCAGTGAAAGAGGTCTCCAAATGCGTGGAATGTCACTTTTGGTGGGAGTATGTGAGTCGCGATTTGCGATCTACGATATAATTGAGGTCAGAGAAAGTAGACATTGAACCCGGCTCTTTTGAGTTCCCCTGATGATTATTGAGCTAAATTAACTTATCCAAACTAATGTTCATAAATAGGAATTTCCTATTCACACAATCGCTGACTGATTATGTGACGGAATTTCCATTTTTTTGCTTTAAATTTATGAGAATATTATTATTGCACCGCAATTTGTTTCGAGAGGGTCAATAAAATTCAAATACACTCAGAAAAAAGATATGTTTGAATCAAATGTACCATTTTTTTTATATTTACCCAATTTTTTGGTTAGTTCAAACAAAATTTGTATTTAATTCAAATAAATATTTATTTGATCTAAATAACTGTTTGGTTTATTTTAATAAATTTTTAGAACAAAGAAAAAAATTGAGCTAAATAAACGTTTGCTTTATGCAACCAAATGTTTGGTTAACTGCATTTATTTTGTTGATTTAACCAAAATTTGGTTGCTTCAAACGAATTTTTTTCTGAGTGTATAGGGTAAATGTCCCAATTACTGTGATGTACAACCCAAGATCGACTTTAATGATAAAATAATAAAAGTGTAAATGAAATTTAATTCTTTTTGTTAAATCACTATTAGTGTTCTATTAAAATAGAAACGATACTTTAAACTTGAAGAAATAACAAATATATTATTAAAAAAATATTAACTTTTTTAAAAATGGCATATGCTGGTATTACTGCAAGTTTTGCATGAATTACTGCGAATGGTGTGCACCAATTACTGCAACGCTAAAAGTGTTGATTTAGAGGTTAGGTTGACTGGATAGACCACAGTAATAGCAGAATGGGAAAAATATACGCATTCTCTAATTACTGTGATAGGTTCAATTGTAACTTGAATAAATAATTTGATAATAGTCGAAATATGCATCATTAGTGAATATAATATCAAATATCATTTGGAATAAGTTTTAAAGTCATTTTGAAATAGTTTTATGTTCTCAATTACTACACTCAGAAAAAAATTCGTTTGAAGCAACTAAATTTTGGTTAAATCAACAAAATAAATGCAGTTAACCAAACATTTGGTTGCATAAACCAAACGTTTATTTAGCTCAATCAAATTTTTTCTTTGTTCAAAAAATTTATTAAAATAAACCAAACGATCAAATAAATATTTATTTGAATTAAACAAATTTTATTT